TTCTTTCTTTCTTTCTTTCTTTCTTTCTTTCTTTCTTTCTTTCTTTCTTTCTTTCTTTCTTTCTTTCCTTTTTCTTTCTTTCTTTCCTTCTTTCTTCTCTTTCTCTCTCTCCCTCTCTTTCCTTCTCTCTCTCTCTTTCTTTCTAAATAAATGATTGCTTTCCCAAGGAACTTTTAAAGCTGAATTTTTAAAACTCTGTCACAACCTGGAGATGTCTCCAATTTATTGGCTTTCTGTTCCGAGAAACTATCTTAAACTCTGAAATGTTTTCTTCAACCCTCAATCACTGTCACCCCTGGCTAGCTTTCAGCATTGATGACCAGCTGTCTCCTCACTTCTCCAGCACCTGCCAAGACTGCTCCCTCTCTCTCCATTTGATGTCCACCATTCCAGCTGTCTCCCATCCCTTTTTCCCTGTCCTATTCTGTTTCCTTCCTTGTAGCATTTATTTACAAATATTTATCACAATATTCATGTACAAGGCACACCTCAAATGTACTGAATGCAACTGGTTTCCACATATCCATTCTTTTCTTTCTAATTTTATGGCTGTAACTACAGTTGGGTCTCTTTTCACCACGTCCCCAAATACCATTTCCAATTGCCGATGGGACGACTTCACTGGTTATCCACAGTTTAGCTGTATTATGGTGGAAAGAAGCCTAAATAGAATTCTTGCTCAGCAGATGAAGTGCTTTAAACATTATTTTCCTCAAGGACAATATGAGTAAAATAATAATTCTCTTTTACTTTCAAATATGTACAAACATACACAATGCATTTATTTACATGTAGGGATGAAAATGTCTAATGCATTTTCCAGTACATAATAGGTGCTTTTTTTGAGAATTCCTTCAAAGTAAACAAGTAGGAAAACCAAGCTTAGCATTCTCTTGGTTTCTTTATCACTATTCTTTTCTGTACAAATTAACTACAAAAACTAAACTAGTAGGGTCACCTTGGTGGCTCAGTCAGTTAAGCTCCTGACTTTTAGTTCAGGCTCAGGTCATGATCTCAGAGTCGTGAGATCAAGCCCTGCATTGGGCTCCCTGCTGAGCTTGCTTTAAGATTCTCTCTCTCCCTCTGCCGCTCCAGCTTGCTGGCTCTCTCTCTCTCTAAGAAAAAAAACAAAAATGAAAACAACAAAAACAACTAAACTTGTGGAACTCTTTAAAATTCTTTTTAGCCCTAAGTTTCTGAAATGCAATATTTTCCTTAACAGTTGGGGTCTAGAGAGTAGCACCTCTATAGACAGTTTGTAAATATGGAAGAATGCTTTAATTTTCAGAGTGACAGTCAAGCTGCTCCTGGTATTCAGGGCCTGAGGGCCAAAGATCCTAAATGTCTTTGAAGGTACAGGACTTTTCAGCATAGGAATGATCAGTTGTCCTGGCCAAAATGCTAACATTTTTAAAAAATTTTATTTCATTATGTTATGTTAATCACCATACATTACATCATTAGTTTTTGATGTACTGTTCCATGATTCATTGTTTGTGTATAACACCCAGTGCTCCATGCAATATGTGCCCTCCTTAATACCCATCACCAGGCTAAGCCATCCCCCGAACCCCCTCCCCTCTAGAACCCTCAGTTTGTTTCTCAGAGTTCATAGTCTCTCATGGTTCATCTCCCCCTCCGATTTCCCCCCCTTCATTTTTCCCTTCCTACTATCTTCTTCTTCTTCTTCTTCTTCTTCTTCTTCTTCTTCTTCTTCTTC